ATTTTTAGGGGATTTTTGGGGAATTTTTAGGGGATTTTTGGGGAATTTTTAGGGGATTTTATAGGATTTTTTTAGGGGATTTTTGGGGGATTTTTGGGGGAATTTTTAGGGGTTTTTTGGGGAATTTTTAGGGGATTTTTGGGTTTTTTTAGGGGATTTTATAGGATTTTTTTAGGGGATTTTTAGGGGATTTTGGGGGTATTTTTAGGGGATTTTTGGGGAATTTTTAGGGGATTTTTGGTTTTTTTTGGGGGGCTTTTATAGGATTTTTTTAGGGGAATTTTTAGGGGATTTTTGGGGGAATTTTTAGGGGATTTTTGGGGGAATTTTTAGGGGATTTTTGGGGTTTTTTGGGGGCTTTTATAGGATTTTTTAGGGGGATTTTTAGGGGATTTTTGGAAGAATTTGGGGGAATTTTTAGGGGTTTTTTGTGGGTTTTGGAGGGCTTTTATAGGATTTTTGGGAGGTTTTTAGGGGAATTTTGGGGGATTTTTAGGGGATTTTTGGTTTTTTGAGGGGGCTTTTATAGGATTTTTTGGGGATTTTTTGGGAATTTTTTGGGAATTTATAGAGGATTTTTGGGTGGTTTTGGGGGCTTTTATAGGATGTTTTTGGGGGTTTTTAGGGGACTTTTTGGGGACTTCTGGGGAATTTTTAGGGGTTTTTTGGGGAATTTTTAGGGGTTTTTTTGGTGGGTTTTGGAGGGCTTTTATAGGATTTTTGGGAGGTTTTTAGGGGAATTTTTAGGGGATTTTTGGGGTTTTTTGGGGGGCTTTTATAGGATGTTTTCGGGGATTTTTGGGGGATTTTTGGAAGAATTTTTGGGAATTTTTGGGGGATTTTTGCGGAATTTCTAGGGGTTTTTTGGGGAATTTTTAGGGGTTTTTTTTGTGGGTTTTGGAGGGCTTTTATAGGATTGTTTGGGAGGTTTTTAGGGGAATTTTTAGGGGTTTTTTGGGGGGCTTTTATAGGATGTTTTCGGGGATTTTTAGGGGATTTTTGGAAGAATTTTTGGGAATTTTTAGGGGTTTTTTGGGGAATTTTTAGGGGTTTTTTTTGTGGGTTTTGGAGGGCTTTTATAGGATTTTTTGGGAGGTTTTTAGGGGAATTTTGGGGGATTTTTAGGGGATTTTTGGTTTTTTGGGGGGGCTTTTATAGGATTTTTTGGGAATTTTTTGGGAATTTATAGAGGATTTTTGGGTGGTTTTGGGGGCTTTTATAGGATGATTTTGGGGGTTTTTAGGGGACTTTTTGGGGACTTCTGGGGAATTTTTAGGGTTTTTTTGGGAATTTTTAGGGGATTTTTTTGAATTTTTGGGAAATTTTAGGGGATTTTTGTGGGTTTTTTTGGGAGGCTTTTATAGGATTATTTTGGGGATTTGTAGGGAGTTTTTTTGGAAACTTTTTGGGAATTTTGGTGAATTTTTTTGGGATTTTTTGCCAGTTTTTGGGAATTTTGGGGGAGAATTTTTGTGGATTTTTTTTTGTGTCTCTTTGAGTATTTTCACCAATTTTGGGGGATTCTTTTCAGGTTTTTTGCCGATTTTTTTGCCGATTTTTTGCCGATTTTTTTGATTTTTTCACAGTTTTTCGGGGGGAGTTTTTGGGAATTTTGGGGTGATTTTTTTTCTGCTAATTTTCCCAATTTTTGGTTCTCCATTCCAGAGGATTTTGGGGGCTCCCCTGACCCCGATTCCCACCGGAAGCTTCTGGAACGTTCCCGGCGCCGTTTCCTGGCGGCCGACGAGGACGGGGACGGGCGGCTCGAGGCCGCCGAGCTCGACGCCTTCCTCCACCCCGAGGACTTCCCCCGGCTCCAGGACCTGGTGGTGCAGGCGAGAATTCCCAAAATTCCCAAAATTCCCAAAAAAATCCCGAAATTCCCAGAAAAATCCCGAAAACCGCATCGAAAACGGTCAAAAAATGGGATTTTTAGAGGATTTTTGGGGATTTTTTTGGTCATTTTGGGGGGATTTTTTAGGGATTTGGGTGGAGCTGGTGAGAATTCCCAAAATTCCCAAAAAACCCAAAATTCCCAAAAGAAATCCCGAAAACCGCATCAAAAACGGTCAAAAAATGGGATTTTTAGAGGATTTTTGGGGATTTTTTGGGTGTTTTTTTGGGGGGATTTTTGGGGGATTTGGGTGGTGCAGGCGAGAATTCCCAGAATTCCCAAAAATCTCGAAATTCCCCAAAAAATCCCGAAATTCCCAGAAAAATCCCAAAAACCGCATCGAAAACGGTCAAAAAATGGGATTTTTAGAGGATTTTTGGGGATTTTTTTGGTGTTTTTTTGGGGGGATTTTTGGGGGATTTGGGTGGTACAGGCGAGAATTCCCAAAATTCCCAAAAAACCCAAAATTCCCCCAAAAAAATCCCAGAAAAATCCCTAAAAGCGCATCAAAAAAGGTCAAAAAATGGGATTTTTAGAGGATTTTTGGGGAATTTTTTTTGTGATTTTGGGGGGATTTTTTAGGGATTTGGGTGGTACAGGCGAGAATTCCCAAAATTCCCAAAAAAACGCAAAATTCCGCAAAAAAACCCCGGAAAAAATCCTGAAAACCACAGCAAAAACAGTCAAAAAATGGGATTTTTAGCGGATTTTTGGGGATTTTTTGGTGTTTTTTGGGTTTTTTGGGGGGAATTTTTAAAGGAATTTTCCCAAATTTTTGGTGATATTTTTGGGGAATATTTTTTTAATTTTCCAGGAATTTTTCGTGAATTTCCCAGGAATTTTTTGGGGAATTTTGGGGAATTCTTTGGGATTTTTCCCAGAAATTTTGGGGGGAATTTTTGTGATTTTCCCAGGGAATTTTGGGGAATTTTTGGGATTTTTTTCCAGGAATTTTGCGGGAGTTTTTTGTGAATTTCCCGGGGAATTTTTTGCGGATTTTTGGGGGAATTTTTTGGAAATTTTTAACAAAGTTTCCAGGAATTTTGGAGGGGATTTTTGGGAATTTTTTGGAATTTTTGGGCAGAATTCCCAAATTTTGCCTCCCCAGGAGACGATCGAGGACCTGGACCGGGACGGGGACGGATTCATCCAGGTCGACGAATACATCGGTGAGCGGATTTCGGGAATTTGGGGGAAAATTGGGGAATTTGGGGGAAAATTGGGGAATTTTGGGGGTCCTTGCCTCCATTTGTAGGGATTTCTGGGAATTTTAGGAGGATTTTTGGCAGAATTTTGGCAACATTTTGGGATTTTCTGGGGATTTTGGAGGAAATTTTGGGGGATTTGGAGAGATTTTTTGGGAATTTTTGGAATTTTTTTGGAATTTTGGGAGTCCTTGCCTCCATTTTTAGGGATTTTTGGGAATTTTAGGGGAATTTTGGGGGGCTTTTTTGTGGCATTTTTTGAATTTTTTGAGGGGTTTTTTGGTGATTTTTGGGAATTTTTGTGGCATTTTTTTGGGGGGGATTTTTGAGGATTTTTTCAGGGGTTTTTTGGCTTTTTTTGGGATTTTTTTGGGAATTTTTGTTGCATTTGGTGAGATTTTGGGGGAATTTTTTGGCATGTTTTGGGATTTTTTAGGGGATTTTTTTGGTGATTTTTTTGGCATTTCTGGGATGTTTTTTG